TAGCAATGACTCAAACAGGAACCACCCCAGAGGTTGATGGTGTCATGACAGCACAACTATAGTTTTGTCTGGTTGTTGTCAAAAGCAATTCTTTCTGTTCTTCTGGGATCTAGAATATAATTTCACTAGGTAACTCCTAATCTGCATAGCTATAAGACTGAAGCTGTGTTTTGGCCTCTTTGTGATGAAGTTGCAACTTCCTGTCCGGTTTCACCTTGAATTAGATGCCGTACATCATTCCTGTTTGGCACTGAGTGTCTGAAACCTGATGTTCTGCTGCAATCATTAGCAGCAAGGTTGAGGAGACCAAGGCCCCCCATATGCTGCTGAACTACAATTCCCAGCATTCCCCAATTCTGGCCATGTTACTAGAATTATAGGAAGTATAGTTCAGCAACATCTGGAAGAGAACAGATCCAACAGGCCTTCCTTAAAGACTATTCTCTGTTCACTGGCACTGAGAAGATTTAACAGCCATTTGCCTGTTTCTGAAAAGTTGTCTATTTTTTCCCCCCTTTTTAACTTCCTTTCCTTTATTGAGGAAGATGGCAAAAATCGACAAGTTATGAGACTGAGTCTAAAAGATTTATTACTGAAAAACTGAAAACCCCCGATTGTGTATTCCCTTTTCTGCCAGCTGAATCAATACCTCTGCATCCTCAAGTATGCATTGTAGCAAGCTGGGTTGATCTTATTTCAATAAAGCAATGAATCACTGATTTACAATATCCTGAAATTTCCCCCAGGAAAACAAGAGACATAAGTAGGGTGAGAGTTGGTGTTTCTTTAGCATTTTTAAAAATCATGTTCTTTCCATTTCCTTTATGAAGAAAATTACAGTACAACTTTTTGATAGATTCCTTTTCTTTTTAAATCTCACCTGCCATATTGAGCATGTTTCCAACAAAAGCAAGCCATCTGGAATGGTCACGATGCTTTGTAAATGAACCTAGGAAGAAGCTGAGTTAGACACTGTGGATTTGACTCCCAAGTCAGCACAGAGGACAATGCCTCACATTGTGCTCCAGTGAGATGTCCTAATTTGGTGATGCTTAACTTACAGGAACGGTTAGGTTGAACACTAGAAGAAATTTGTCAGAGAGCAACTGGAGGGTGCAAAGCAGTTAGCTGTAGCAATAAAGGATGAGCTTTTTCTTCTTGAAAGACATCAAGCAAAGGACAGCTACCTGTAGAGGCTTCGGATTACTTGACTTGAGTTGAGGCCCGGATGACCTAAAAGTCCCCTGTTGAGCTTTATTCGGGCCCTTGTTTGGTGTGGCTGCAGCAAAGAAGAGGAAATGGGACCACAAGGGCTGCTCTACTGAGGACTCTCAATTTCATGTAACAGCAGCCATTTCACCAGAAACTGAGAGATGGACAGGACACTACATACCATTGGTTCAGTTTAAAGTTCAGTTGACATTTGGCTCCTTTTATCCCTCAACTATTTCCAACCATAGCTTGGGTTTTGGTTAGCTTTTTCTTGCTCTTCCCTCCACATTCCTGTTTCCATTTGTGTTGCATCCTTTAAACTGTACACTTTGAAGGCAGGAAGTACATTTGAGAGCTATACGGAATCAGACTAAGACTTTTTCCAGCCTTTAGTTTTTATGGTAGCTAACCACATGCCCAGCAGAATTGCAAAATTCTTGATCACCATGGCTTTTGTTTCTGGTTCTAGTTCTGGTGGTAATTTAATCATTATTATAGCCATTAATCTCCACCACTAATCTACCTAATCAACTTTTATAGTGTCCTAGGTTAGTGGCCATCACTTGAGGAAGTGCATTGCCTGGGTTTACCTGGTACAGTGGAAATAAGTTTCAAGTTTTAG